TACTGAACAAGGTTATTCACAGACTCAGCGAGAAGCATTAGCTGTGTTTTGGGCTGTTAAAAGACTTCATAAATATTTATTCGGAAAGAAATTCACTATTGTTACTGATCATGAAGCTTTAAAGTTTATTTATCATCCCGAAAAATCCTTAGCACGTTCCTCGGCAGCTATGGTTCGGCGGTGGAGTATTGCTTTGAGTGCATATGGCTATACGGTTCAGCACAGAAGTGCCAAACAGATTCAACATGTTGATTACATTTCTCGACAGTCATTACAAGATAAACCTATTGATACTTTGGATTGTTTGTTAGTGCAACCTTTACCAGTGAGACGTTCAGATCTCATTAGAGAAACTCGCAGATATTTTGGATGTATACTCAGTGCTATAAGGAAAGGTTGGAATGCTAATTTGAAACGTAGATTTCCTATCTATTTTTCAAAGCGGAATGAGCTACCTACTACTCCTGATGGTATTCTGTGTTTAAATGATCGTGTTGTCATTCCTCCTTCATTGCGTAAATCTGTTCTTGAAGATCTTCATAGTCGTCATTTAGGTGTTGAGAAAATGAAGTCCTTGGCAAGGCTCACATGTTGTTGGCCACAGATAAATGCAGATATATGTCGTACGGGAAACAATTGTGAGAAATGTCGTCAGTTGAAAAATCATCTTTGGAAGTGGACGCCATGGCCAGTATCGTCTGAGGCCTGGCAGAAAATTCATGCTGACTGTTGTGGCCCGTTTCTTGGCAAATACTATGCACTAGTAGTTATTTATTCTTTTTCAAAGTGACCTGAAGTTTTCTTCACTTCACCAAATTCTGATCTCACAATCCAAGCACTAAGAAAGTTGTCTGGTCGAGAAGGGGTTCACATGGTGTTAGTGACCGATAATGGCTCTCATTTTGCTGCAGATGCAGTCACTACCTGGTTGAATGGCATAGGGTGCAAAAACCTGTTTACTGCTCCCAGACATCCTTGTTCTAATGGTCAGGTAGAAAATTTTGTCAGGACATTGAAAACTGCTATTGATTCTATTGCCTCCTCAACACTCGATGAACTGGAGAGGGAAGTAGATACCTTCCTACTGCAATATAGAAATGCCAGACATTCTGTGACGAAAGAGACTCTATCAAATCTATTAAAAGGAAGAATTCTTCGGTCGAATATGAGATGTTTGGAGTCTGCGAAAGTTATATATTATCGTGGAAATGATCTTCGACCATCTTCGGGTATTGTTCTGAAGAATTTCGGAAAATCTATGGTGCGAATTCTAGACATCAATCACTTAAGTACACGCAGTTGACATGTTGATGAAATACAATTTCAGGAACCAGGTGAGTCAGTTCCAATTTTGGTTGTTAGTTCTAATGCTAATGAGCACATTCTAGATAATACAAAATCCTTATCCAATACAATGTCGGACAGACTAAGGATGAATTTGAGAAGAAGACGTACAATTGATTACAAACAAATGGATTCCAATTTAAGCTGGAGCGAATGTGGTGTTTGAACGAACTAATGACACTTTTGTACTTGTTGATTGCAGAATTTCGAATTCCAAATACAATACATTCGTTTGTGCTTGTGTCTTCTTAATTCAATTGCGTTATTTCTTGAACTCTTAGTTCGTGCTATAATTCAAATAATTGAAAACATTATATCAAGGTGGAGAATGTTGTGACTTCTACCAAAGATCTTAAAGACTAGTTAGTCAACAAGACAAATCTACCATTTTTGAATAAGGTCAATGCGTATAGTAGTGCAGATAAATGTAACGATGCCGAAGAAGACCATAGTTCTGCGTTTTTAAGTTTTTCAATTCATACGCTATGTAAGATCCATTTTGAATGCTTTGTGTGTTTGTGAAAATCCCTCCATTTATATACTTGCACTTTGTTCCTATTGATTCTTTTAGTTGCACATCGTTAACTTTTTGACTACATTTGAATTGTTAATATTTGTATTTTATCACAGTTTTCGTTTTTACTACACCTTTACTAATTCCACGTGTTTTTTTCCCGAACTGCACTTATGTTGTTTTACTTTATACTAAGTCTGGGCGGCAGCCATTGTGGTTTGTTCTTGCTTTTGATTGCTTGACCTGTGTTGACTGGAATTGTGCATTTTAGTTGTGAATTGAAGCACTCTTTCAGAATTGAAAACACTCTGTGTTATAGAGCGACCAATTATTACCTTTTGAACGAATATGTACGTGATCTATCCAGACAGGATAGAATAACATTCATTTGTGGTGATTGGTAATTTTCTTGCATCTTCTATCAACTTCTTTATTTATTGTAATTTAGATTTAATTGATTGAACAATCATTGGTTGAATAGCCGGGTGATAATATTTGTTTAGGTAATGATTTACATTAATTTTATTATGAATTATAGAACCGCTAGTTACCCGATTACTTGTTCTGATTTCGACGGGATAGAATAACATTAATTTGTGGTGATTGGTAATTTTCTTGCATCCTTTATCAACTTTCTTATTTATTGTGGTTTAGATTTGATCAATTGAACAATTATTGGTTGGATAGCTGAGTGGTAATAATGTACACTTAAATTTATGATTAATTATAGAACCGTTATCTTACCCAATTACCTGTTTTGGTTTCAATCGGGCGAGGGCGCGTATCTAACTCATCCTGACAGCTGTCCTTCACTCCAAACCGTAGTTTGGATTTTACACGCTATATTTTACTTATTGGTCTTGCACTTACAATCCGTCGTTATAAATGCATCTCAGCTCGTTTTTGGATATTGTCTTGGCTTCGGTCAAATAAACAGAGAACCTGTTGAACGAATTGCAGATAATACGTAAATATCGTTGAACCCTTGTATATATAACTTGTGGTGGAACGCTTTCATGCATAAATTACCCGTGGACAATAATTATATTAGTTAAACTAAACGACATTCAGTTCTATGCTTTAAAAATGAGAAAGACAACTATTCGTTCTCTGTTAGATCACTTTTGTTTGCTCTGACTGATTAAGTAAAACCTTTGAATGAAACTTGAACAGAACAGTAAAAGAATCATTGTATTATGCTGAGACACATATGAGACAAATTGTAGTTCGATTGCAGAGTGAGTAAGCTTAAGTAGATATCTTAGAAGATGCCTAGAAGAGTTTAACATATTACAAGTTATTAGGCGGTCACCTTTGAGACGGCTGTAGTTTAACGAGTAATGATTCAGTGATTTGAACTGCTCCTAATAAAGTTCAATTTTGCGTCCTGGAACAGAATTCACAACTCGCCGTTTTAGACATCCCAGTTTATTAATATCCCTTTGAAGTTAGAGTAGAAAAACCATATTTCCCAATTCTAAATAAGGTCGATTTGAAATGCTGAAGATAAGGTGAAAAATTCTACTTTTGAACTTGCCGAAATGCGCTTGAACATTACCAGCGAAAGATTTACTCTCAAGAAGACATAGGTATTCGAAGTTTGACGACGCTTTAACCAGTAACACCTTCCACTATGAATCGTACCCATCAAGTGAAATCAAAAGACAGGAGCGAGAAGGTTGGAAAACATATTTGATTAGCTATCAATATATCGACGATGATCTGATCTAATCTGGATAGCGATTGCAGTGGTTGTTGAGCTCGGCGTTCCCACACGTGATCTGGTGCGGATGCACGACCGAGCGCCTTCAGTCCATTGAAACTGATGTTGTCGGCATCCAACATCGAAGAGTTACAGAGCTATTTATTTTGGGGACTCATTTACCGCTTCATCTCGAAATGCACTTTTCCACAGTTAGCGTCAAAGTCCAGTAATAGAATAGCAAACTGATATAGCGCTAGAAGATGAAACCTTAGTCGTAGGTTCAATTTAGATGGACTACATTACATTTTGACGCTTTGAGAGTACGTATTCAGTTATCTGTCAGTTTTTAAACACAAGTAAGACACCTAAATTCCTAACTTATCATCCAGGTTCAAATTGCTCCCCAATGATCAATATCATCACGGAAAATTATTAATTTCACTTTAGGTTGATAATACGATCATTTCGTAAAATCAAACATAGTAGAGATAATACTATTGAGCCCTGGAGGATCCCACTAGGATATTTCGTAGTCTGCGAAAATGTGCAAATACAGTGAACTTTATGTTTCGACTATATAGATATGAATCGAACTATTATATTAATAGTGACATGATACACAAAGAAGTATAAAATATCATCAAAATAAATAGTTGTGTATTTCTTCGACATTCACGCTGACGTCATTAGTTTTGCTGGATACTACGTAGTTGGATGCTTTCGGGCACGCATCACACTTTATCACAAATAGGTATCCTTATTAAGTATACCTTGCAACTGCTAGGCAGATTATATTGAACAGTTCTTAAGAACCCGCTAAATATATCTTTTTATTCCGTCATTTCTGAATGTCTGGGGCTGCTTAAGCTTATTGATGAGACGTGTGTGAATAGCCCAATCAGGAGCTTTGAGCAATGGAGATGCATCACGCCAAGTCTCTCATTGCCATAGAGAATAATTAAATATCTGTTTACAACAGTCAGTAGTGTAGGAATACACAAATCAGTTCTCCTTAAAGCCCGATGTTTTATTCAACTAACAAACGCCTGAAAACCGATACAACAGAAAAAGAGTAGTTTTTGTTTACAATTGTTTTGTTAATTTCGGAACGCTACCATTGTAGAGGAGGGTCGATAACAATGAAGTTACTCGTGGTTCATATACTTTCACTCGGAGAGAGAGCAAATTATGCGAACATACACGATGTTTTTTAATCCGTTACCTCTATCATACTGCATTTAGAGATTTATATTTTACAATTCCGTATCAATGCACACCAAGCTTACTATAAGTTGTCATTTAATTACCTGTTTTTTGCCTATTTTATTGTTCATACATCTACATGTTTAAATAACTAACCGTACTTCATCATAGGGCGCAAGGAAATCGGCTAATAATAAGGTATTGGACATTGGGCGTCTCACCTTCCTTTAAGGACTATTTTGAAAGTTAGATGACAAATCGCGGTCCAACCACTTGGTTTGATAGTATAGGTAACTTAAGAACTGAATGCCCTGCTAAGGAAAATAAACGACTTCGAAAAAATGTGAGGGTCTCAGCATGTCGTCGCCTTGAAGATTCACATAGTGAGTTCACGGTAGAGGACGTTCATTCAGACGGGGACTACAGAAATTCTGTCTCGCATCTCCTATCAATAAACTTTGGCCTTGACGAGAGGAATGAAGGTGAAGTTCATGTGTTTTATGATTCATGCTCCACAACACTTCTTGGTTCAATGGCTTTAGAGGAGTGAATATAAATCATTACGTCTTCTTGGTAGATCCGGCTTCTGTGTGTATATTATGTTCAGATAAACCAACTATAATCCACACAGCCTACTTTTAGGAAACCTTTTGATTGTATTTGCTATAAATAACTTCGTTTGGTGTTTCACATATCACTTTGTATGTTTGTATTGCAAATATAGTTTATGGATGATGTTGCGGAAGCAATAGCTCAGATACACGTTAGCTACCAAATTCCAGTACTATGTTGAGATAGATTTGATGGTTCAATACTGTGACATGTAATCATCCCACCATACATAAGTACTCCATTTAAAAACAGAGGATCACGAACGTATATAAAAAGTAAGACCAATTGTAAACCCAGCCGTATTCAGTCCAACAAGAAAGCACGTTAGCGAGGCTTGATAAATCTTAATTACCGCTTTTCACATTTAAACAACAGATAATTCTTCACTTTTGTTTAAAGGGAGATCTTCAATAAGAAATTAATCGTTAGTGCAAAATATCATGTTTCACCTGTCAATGAAGCTGGCGTGTTTTTGCCATCAAATGAGTGAGCCGTGTTGTAACCAAAAGAAATGGGCACTAAATCCGATAAGCAAGAGATTTTGTGTGCGTTCCATTAAGGCTTTGCAGTGAAGCAAACAACTAAATTTCTGATTAGAGTAGTAACATGGGATGTCGTTTCATGCGGTTTTGCACAGACATAGATGGTTGGAAAACGAACTACTCCATGAGTACCTACACATATAGTTATAGCAATTGAAGGAAAAATAACGTAAATATACCAAAATAATATATGGATTTGTTGGTTATATGTTGTTGCTGTTCAGATTGGTATTAGCTTCTTTTTTCATAACCGGTAAGAGGCTAAGAATTTATAGCAACATTAAATGAATTTAGTCAAGACAAATAACAATGGCAAATTTATAACTGCCAAATACCCTTGTCAAGAATTTCAGGAGGTAGAGTCCACTGTAAAAAAATTAAAGTAATAAACTCTCAGTTACCCTAAAGCAGTTCTTTAAGCGTTTAAAATCATTAAATTCCATTTTGTGAGTGATTTTAATAGTAATAACTTGTCGAAGCTGCTAACTAAACCCGTTACCTGTTCAGGGCCTGTAAACTCAAATAGTTTACAAAAGATTGCAATAAAGACATTAGATATTGGTTTCGAACTTGACTTTATGGGCTATCCAGTTAGTAATTATGGCTTGATAACGAATTCTACTGTGATAACCTATTTATGCAGTCACGAGATTATTTCCATTATCAAGCACATTTAACTTACGAAACTATCAATCTCAACCAAACTATAAAGCTTAGTAAATTTGTGTAACTGCTAACTGATGAAATATTAATTAAAAATCTATTCACTCATTCTCCCTATCCTGCCCCGACTTTACAAGGTCGCTTGCTCATAGGAAATTTTCCGGAGGGAATGAGAATCTGTACCAGCAAGAATTATTTTCAATTAGGAACCAAGTATACTACGCGGCCATTCGTTCTTTCCTGATTTATGGCTGCGAAATGTGGCCCTTAAGGGTAAAAGATATTCGTAAGCTACTAGCATTTGATCACATATGTCTCATAAATGTTGCTTGCGTCTGCTGAGATCATCGGGTAAGTAACGGCGAGGTTAGACGCAGGGTATTAGAGAATGATGGAAAATCAGTGGATGAAGTTGTGAATCTTCATCGACTGAGATGGTTGGGCCACGTGTTACGTATGCCTGAACACCGATTGCCACGACGCGCAATGCTGACTATTGTTAGGGACGGCTAGAAGAAAGTTAAGGGTGGCCAAACCAAAACGTGGCATCAGTGCTTAAAGTCGCTAACTTCTATTCTTGGCCGTGTTGGTAGATGCAGACTACTTGGTTTGGGTCGGCATGACTATCCTAATCAATGGTCGGAGACTCTGAGTGATATGGCTCAGAATTGATTACAGTGGCGTCGGTGTATACACTCTGTCTTCTCTTAAACTAAGAGACTAAAATTACTTTATATCTTTCTTTCTACCAACTAATTCTTTTTTCTGTACTATCTCCTTATAAGCGATCATTCTTTTATATATTACCACCAATCAAGTAACTACTTCTATGAATTCGGTGTTCAGCCTTTTGTGCTAATGACGTATGGCAACTTGGACAGATGCATATATATGTCTGGACCTACGTCGCAGCTGACTGATGAGTCGGATATCTTTGGTTATTTTTTTCACCCAGTATGTAGAAATCAACTTTAAGCAGCAAGATTGGTGAAAAATGAGAATTCAATCAAATTCCAAATATCTGAACATTCTATTATGGAAGTTTAATTTATCTCTATTTTATATTATACTTGCTTATCTTTTAATTACATTTAAATATTCATCGTTTTCCATGCATACCAGACGAAAGTAACTTTTTAGTTATATCAGTTACTGAAAAAATATTTTTAAACATATTGGAGAACAGATAAAACATCTTTATATTTCATAATTGCATAGATTACAAAAATAATTGTCAAGGACTTTCATAAGTTTAAAAATATGATCTCATCTGTAATGAAAACAAACACTGTCGAATTTAGGTCGAAACACTTACATGGGAAAAATTATACGAAATAAGAGCGTGTTTGATTAGTTCAACAGTGAAACATATAGATAAATATATACAGATAAATTATGATTAAATATAAAATTACTTTTGTAATTTTATATCCATTACTGATGACAGCAAGAAATCGTCCATCAAAGCTTGTTGGACACCACAATCATCTAAACGTAATCGGATACGTCTTAAACGTGCTGGTGTACCCACTGTAGCTTTAACTGAGTAACGCGGACCAGTAAGTTGAATAAATCCACGAGAATCAAGAAGATCGCATACAGCGGAGAGTTCAGATTCATTTAAACTTGTAATTTGTTTTTTCTTACATATAAGAATGTACGTATCATAAAGTAGGCTAAACGATAATTCACGTAAACCTTTTTGTTTTCTTAACAGAAGACAGCTAGCCAGTAGAAGCTTATGGTGTAATGGCAGCTCAGAGCCATTAGTAGTAAATGTATTAACGCCAGTAAACGATTTAACAGGAAGAGGAGAATCAACCTGGTAAGAATGAAAAAAAGATTAACTCGAATTACCCTGAGATATAACACAAAGACAATACAGATGTTAGACAAAAGGACAAATTCAGACGACTAAATATGAAAGTAATATTTACGTGAACTGATTTAACGATTTTAAGATCATGTTTGGTCTATAAGTGCTACCTATTAATTAAAGCATTGTGTCTATATCTTTTGGATTGTATGATAAACAAACACATCTAATTACTAAATTACTCTAGCGCAAAGGAACCAATGAAAAGCGTTTATCTAAGTAGACTGAAACTGCTGGCAGTAGCTATGAACCTTTGTCTTTACTATTTTAGCCGATTTTGTTACAGATGACGGGAAAAGTAACGTCTGCTTTAAACTTCCTTTGCAATGAACCTCCATCCAGAAAACTTGGGAACTGTCTACAGTAAACATATAATATGATCCTGATAAGCAGATGTACTAACAAATTATAAGAAAACAGAATGTTTGATATGAGTTAAACACTTAATAAAAACAAGGTGCTGCTAGTTTTATCCAAGCCGAAATAAAGTGGCTGGACGTATCAACAAACAAAGCTACATCAATCCAGGTAGTGACCAACAAAATTCGGGTATAGATGTGGGTCGTAATGGAAATAGCGAACTATTTTTAACCGCTGCATGAACAAAATCTAATGGTCAAGTATAGGAATGAGAACTACACCGTTTCAAAACAAGGCGTAACCGATGATAGTAAGCAATAATTACATAATGTCGAATTTAAGACCCAATAGCGATATGATGATAGGCGATTTATTTTGCCCAAAACACTACCTAGCAAATATTACTGTATTACATTGCTTCATATCTGGTTAACAAACAAGCAAGCTCTATCAACAGGTCGAAGTGTTCGGCGTCTTATTTCTAAAAAACATCTAAATGACTTAGTCTGTACTATATATCTCTATAGTTTGTTAATAGTCTCAAAATACACTTCCAACATTACTTACTACGAAACTACAGTACTCACCTGAGATTCCTTTAAAGCCCTACTTATATGCTGGATGGAAGGTGTAATGTGAGAATCAGCCGCCACCTTTTGAGGAATAAACGCGTCAGATATGTTTTTCATCCGAGCATCTTGATGGGCTAAATCAATCGCCCTGCGACATATATCTAGTGCAGTACGTGCATCCCCTGTAGAAGCAGCAATCTAAATTAAATATGCTGACAACATTAATACATGTTACTGGAAAGAAAAGTAAACTATAACCTAACACTATATTGCAATTTAAAAACAGTTGCTTTTCCCTAAGAGCAGTGATCAGTGTTCGAAGGGAATATTTCATATTAAATGTCACTGAACTCTTTAAGTAATGAGTTACTCATACAATAAGGTAAATCTATTACATATGTTCTTCCAAAATAGTTTTGTTCTAGGATATTTTACTACAAACTTCAATAGATTAATAAAAGCTACATAAGTAATAAAAAAACAACTAATAAATGATAATTTCTCTTAAGTAGTTACCACGCATGAAAGTAATTTATTTTTAATCAAGGTATTCAAAGCATGTACATACTTCCTGCTCAAATATATTCAGAATATTCCAGTAAGAATAAAAATCTTTCAAACGTCTTAACATCTATACTAGTAAAACTAACGTGTTAAATTGTGATATAGAAATATTGCTAACGATATGAAATGAGTATTCGAATATTGATATGTGATATGGCACTTGAACTTGTAGGTTAGTTTATATATATAGCACTAAGCTGGTAGCTCACGAAACGTGTTTAACATTCTCGACATATGTAATCACCATTATCTTTTCTCTTGAATCTGTTAGTTTTAACCCTTATAATCCACAGCCATTTACTTATTTTAACACATGAATATTGATACAAAGGGGCACCGAATACAAATGCACCACACAAGTCACTTGATTTGTGTGTGGGCTGCGATACTGCCCGAGCACCCAGACCGAAGCAGGTGGTTTTCTTAAGTGGCCACACCCGGAGCCTTCGACCTAAAGGTCTGGTCCACAAGGCAGTGGAGCGACGTCAAGAGATGAAGTCCGATTGTAGCCGGCTACCAACAATTAGTTCATACGCCATTTGTTCTCTCAGGGTACTGGAGCCCATGTGCACCATTGGTTTGGAATCAGGGTTTTCCAACTCCTCTAGGTGAATCCGCCGCGAGAAGGCAACGAGTAGGACTTGCCTGGCAGTGGCTGTATATGCGTGGCCATGTGAAAGCATTTCGAGAGGGAGAGCTGACTCTCCCCACCCTCGACCGTACGAGGACATTTGGGGGTGATCCAGAGTCATAGAGCTCTGTAATTCATTTTATACACTTCACAAAAGACAACTAGTTACACTGCTGAAATACGTCACCAATTTAGGAGCAAAACACAAAATGAGGAGTACTGTGCAGCCCAAAACTGATTGCCTTACACACTAACACGAAAAAAAAGAAATACTGGAAACCGAGACCTTGAGAAAAGCTTGGTCTCAGTACGACGATAACGACCACTATCCACTCCTACCACAACTAAAAAGTTCATATCTTGTAGAGACCAAATCAATACCGCACCATATATTTGAAATATAACAGTTGACTATTAGATTTAAATGGACCCTGATGTAATGTACGCATTTTAGCGTAACCTAGTGAAAACTTCACTCCTATTGGTGATTACTTTATAGGAAAACTCACAAGGCTTGCGTAAATAGTAAATAATCTGAAATATTACAAATCAAATAGCTCACTTTTCTAGAACATAGTTGTATAGCAAGAGCTTCTATACATGGTCCACGACTTGATGATTTGGATAAATGAGCTTGGACAATTTCAGCAAGCTCAGATTGTGAATATGGTTGAAATATAATATGAATAGGTTTGTAAACTTTTGATTTCAAACGTGGCAGCAGACGCTCTGGTAAATCTAAGGCATTTGCTACTCCAATAACAATGGTGTGACAAGTAAGTTTTGATGGCCATTCGAAAATTCTAGAAGGTAAGTGTAGTTATAAAACGCGGACGTTTCATTAATGATAACGGGGAAGTTGATAATTCACAAAATAGCCATAAGAATATACGAATTCGTGAGTCGTCCTGATTTTAAAAAATTTAATAGTATTATAAGACCTGGTTAAAAGGGTTTTAACTAGGATCGTTTTAGTGCCACACTACACTTTTATTTGGGCACTGAATATACCACAAGTCTTACAATTAAAGTACGTTAAGACAATGAATCCACAAGAATAAAAGTATATACTTACAAGTTACGAATGAAATCTCTTAAACCAAATTTTCATTTTTTTAAGTATGGGAAAAACTAATCAGATGAAACCATTCAACAGAAGCAAGGTATAACACAGGACAAATATGGATTGGTTTAATGTGTGAAATGCGAAAACCAGCACGAAAGGAAAACAAAAGCGATGGGCTGAAATTATCAAACTGGTGCAACACTAGAATAAAAAAATAAAACCATGAAGCGGAATTCATGGATAGTCAAGAAATATAGGACAACAACGACTGAACAACTTCATATCGTCATGATGAATTAAGAATTACCGATAGATGATTGTGTCATCTGACTGATTATGGTGGGAACTAACTTTTATCTATTTAGATTAATATAAAGTTACTGCAATTAAAAATAGAACACTAACAAAATATTCTGAGTTACGGGAAATAAAACCACCTGTAGAGTAACTTCTGACTACGCGTAGATAACTGATCAACTTCATCTAAAACTAGGATAATGGTCTTTTTTTGTGGTTGTTGATTCAAAAAGCATTCCAATGAATCAGCATCGCTAATTAAATTATTTTCCTTGCCATTGTGAGCTTCTAAAACGGTAGATATTCGTCCAAAAATATCTGCACATGACGTTAATTGCATACAATTAATCACAGCAGTATTACATTTGCCATACGTTTTAAAATTTTGAACAACATTCAGAACAACTGCTGTTTTTCCAGTTCCTGGGGCCCCACTTACATAGAAACTAGCACTTTTCTTCGTGTCTATACAAGACTGAATCAGAGATGTCAAACGACTGATCTCATTTGCTCTTCCAACAATCAGTGGACTAGATTCCGCAACCTGAGTTGCAGAGTTGGCTGAGAAACTGACCTTACATTGTGTAATATGTGAATCAAATACCACAGGTGGATGGGTTTCTTTTTGATCGTCAAGGGAAGTATTCAATTTATCCGATATATTGCTTTGATCTCTTAAGTTAAAAGATTCACAACCGACAGATGTTACGTTTCTACAAGAATCAGGGGGACTCGGTCGTCTTCGCTGAGTGAGACGACTTCCTGGGGTTCCCGTTGAGCTGGAAGATACTGAGGGGGTTACAGAAAAAACTCTTTCATTTCGTTGTTTCCGAGGTATGACTTGTTCTGACTTATTTTCTCTGATACTAGATCTTAAGACACGACTCATTTTTGTCAAAAATATCCACCAGTTTAGATGTTAGCATGAAATGATATAGATCTGGTTGATAAGGAAGCTGAAAAAAAGATGAAAGATAAACTTATTGATTTAAAACGTGGAAAATAAAATATCAAAATGCATCAAAAAATTACGAGTCCTTAATAAATTTAAAATGGCTTATTTATAAAAAGAAATAAAACAAAAAGACAAGAACAAACGATTTGTTATAGTTTAGTATATTATCTTGATGGCAAGACTACAGTTTATAGACGAACTAATCAGACTTAAAATAGGTCTTGAACTTTGGCGCGAAATTCATTCATCCATAGAGATGAATGGTGTTTTGAACCGACAGTTGATGTCGGTTCGTGAAAACTTTTAACTCCAATTTCCCACATTAATTTACAACCTTCGTTTAACGCCAGTAAGAAGGTGAATGGTTTTAAGGTCACCTAAGCATCACTCAAAGGTAGTCTATGAATTATCGTCTGGCCGTCACAGTAACAGCTTTTACTTGAGCGTAATAAAAAAATAGAACATCTGAGAAAAATTACTAACCATTTCAACTCCTTGTTATACCAGCTTTAACTATTTAGTGTGCTACTAAATATATTATCCGGGAATTTATGGACAGTGAACTACAAACATAAAAGACCATTTCACAAACTAACCAATTTTTCACCACTTTCTCACAATACCTAGGTCAGGAAATGTGGAAGCCACTAAGATGGTGGACTATGGAAGATTCTTATTAAGATAACACTACTTATTCACTGACGGTTTTTACTTTTTGAAAGCGTAACACTCCAATACTACATTGCAGTGCTGCTATCCCATATACATCTTATACTGCAAGCCATAATAACGTAGGACCATCCTCACATTTCAAGCATTAAGATTTTCGGATTGAAATAGACTTACACAAATATATAGTGGATTGTGTTGAGTCTAGACTTTTGCACATTCATCCTCAAGAGAATAACAGATGTGGGCTGAAGATTCAAGAAGAAAATAAAATGCACTCACATTTAGTAATGAGCTAATCGATAACAATCAGTGGTAGCGAGCGACCAAAAAAATTCGACAATCATGACCGGAAGTACCAGGATGAGATTTAACCTGAAGATACCTTGTGTGCAGGGGAAGTGCGAGGAGCAGTGGCTCCAGATAATCTACCACTCAGTATACGCAAAGAATGCACTTAAACTTAATTAAGAAAACGAATGCAAACAAACACAAGTAACACAAGCGTGAGATTAAGACAATATGATAATACAAACAAGAAGTGTCAACAAACACTAACAAAACACGCGGCCTCAATCCAGAGTACAGGATTACATATTTCAAGCTTCAACTTCAAATTTGTTTAGCAGATTTAGTGAATTGTTGGTTACTCGGTATATGCGTTTGAGTAGCTGATACGAACTAGTGGTTACGTAAAGGCGTGGTCCTTGTTACATTTCCTTCACAAGAAGAGGAAAAACAAATTGGTCAGTAAAGGATGTGATTGAAGTGTAGCACCTAGATTGATCCCATCTACTACCTATTGAACTAAAGTAACCTTCCAGCCTCCTTCAGAACAATTCAATAGGAGTGTGTAATATCGAATATTTTTTGGATCAGCATCACCCGTTGTTACGTAGACCCATGAGGATTTGGGGCACTCCGAGTCAGTGATCTTAAGAAAGTCGTTGTGGGTACACAGAGTCACTAATAGAGCTTGTGTTTTTAGGTCTAATCCTTATATGCCTCAAGGATAGAGACAGTGAAGTTTGTGGATATGCCTTTCTAAAAAATGGCTCAGATGTTATCCTAATCAAGTCAAATACTGTACGATTATCATGATTATCATCGGAGAGTGAGGCGATTACCGGTAAGCAGAAATAAGTTGGCCAGATCGACAATCAAAGCTCTTCAAGTTTACTCACAAGGTAGAAAAGAATGTATATTTAATGGACAGGTTGTTATGGTAGATGACGTGCCGGTTCACAGACCAAAAAACCTGTGATGAACAGTGCCCAAAACTGGCCTAATCTTGCGGATTTATCATGGTCAGAGTTAATAGGCGGCGAAATCATATTCCTTGTTGGTTGTAAAGTGTCTGAAGCACATTTGATCCTAGACCGGAGATTACGTAGAAGAAAAGGTGCTTATGCTAGTAGTACACTGCTAAGGTGTGTTCTCTTTAGACCAGCAGGCTACAACAAGCATGATAAAAAAATTGTTAATGATTTTTCTCAAACTGACGATCCTGTAGAGAAGTTAAAAAGTATATAGCCATGAGTTTCCTGACATCCATTCATCTTAAAAATCACTATTTTTGAATGATTTTAAAAACAATTATAGTAGTAGATTACGACACTTATTTTGATGAAAGTCACTGGGTAGTTCATTTACCTTGGAAGATAGGAAGAAATGTGATTTCTGAGAATTAAGCCCCAGCTAAACGAATATTTAAAAAATTGAGACGTCTACTTGTAGGCTGCAAAGACTTACATGAAAGCTACACCCATTCCATGCGGTAGATTATTGAAAAACGGCGTGCTAACAGAGCTCCAGGTATGCAAATGTATACGAGCTACCAACCATGATGGTATTTGTCCCATCATGCTATGAATAAAACTTAGAAACCAAGGAAAGTGAGAGTGACATTAAGTTATGTTGCTAAGGTGTCTGGTGAACCTTCAAACAACCATCTCTTTCAAGGTCCAGATGTGACAGCAAATTTAGTTGGGTACCTCAGGGAACCGGTTGCCGCATCTGCGGATGCAGAAGAAATGTTTATGCTAGCAGACGCCTCAAAGGTCCACCACAGACCACTACGTTTCCCCTAGTGGCAGAGGGTGGTCTCACAAATGAACCTATGGGATATCATGTCATCATACCGCTTTGGAGCAACACCTTCAACATTCTGCGCAAATTTTGAACTGGTATGGACATTTCAAAATATCCGTAAGGGCTGTGACAGCAACATAGTGGAGTCGGTGCCGCATAACTTTTACCTGAACGATTTGTTAGTATCCCTTCCCAAAAGATGCGAAAACATTTGTGGTACGATTGAAACAATTGGTGGTTGAAGAAAGTTCCAAGTTGAAAAGGTGGGTAACTAACTGAGAATTGGTGATGTAAGTTGTTCTACAATGCGATCGTACAGAAACGGTAGTTGATATGCCTTTGAACCAAGGGTCCACTCACCAAACCCTTGGACTTGAGTGGGACACCACCCACGATGTTTCTAATTTCCTGCTCGACCCGAGGAAAATCCTATGATCTGGAGAGAAATACGATCCGCCGCTTTATCTCTATTCGATGCACTGCGACAAGTCACTCAGATATAACTTCACGCTGAGCAACTCTTACAGAACCTTTATGAACTACACATTGTTTGCGACCAGACACTGAATGTAAGCAATGTGTCAACATAAGACAATTGGATTAAGTTTGAGCAGAAGCTCAGGAAGATCAACATTCCCTTTTGTGTTAGAAATGAAAACGGAGAGAACTGTGGAATGACTGAATCACATTTGTTTTCCGATGCCTTCCAGTGTTGTGACGACGGACCACAAGTGGACTCGAGGAAGCTGTAGGAGGCTCAGAATGAACCAAAGATATTCCATCCAATCACCTTTCAGAAGAATATTCTAGAATTCCAACGTGTAGCTTCCTGATTGGTCAATGCTAATAACCCCATGAATGCGGATTGATGGACTGTAATGATGATTTCGTTCTTACTAAAAAATATAAATACCTGGCAATTTTGTACTATAATGAACACTGTTGAAATAATATTCCTTTCGTTAGTCTTTTGTCTTCTTCTTGCGACTTGGGGGAGTTTTGGGTGTTCTAGTCCTCTGTTGTACGCGGTATATCAAGAAATTAGCGTTTAAGATATCACAGGTGTTGTGGTTTACTCGTTTACTCAAGCACAAACTTCTGGACAGCGTTTTGCTCCATAGTAAGGCTAGGTTCGCGCCCATAAACCTAGTTATTGTGTTGAGATTAGAGTCGGAAGCAGCATTATTAGGTGCCCGAAAAGGTAAGGTTTTGAGTAGAGATCTTCCACGTATATTTGAAAAAAACTACTTCTAGATAGGTTCTCTGATAGTCCTACGCTATGTTAGAAATACAAGGATCAGGTATTCCACCTCTGTGGTTAATCCTCTGTCCGTTCTTCACCAGTTAACGTTGGTGGACCAGCGGGGACACGTTGGATCAAATGGATATCATGCAAACCGAATTCCACGAGTTAAACGTACAGAAGAAATTAGATTTAACAGCCTGGATTGATAGTCTTTCATTCTCAAGCAATAGGGAGTTTGTAGAAATTCCGAGGCGTATCCAAGAAACTCTTCCGTTAAATGTTGAGTTTAAAGGAACTCACATGATCAACACAGGTATGATAGAGCATAACTTAAGTACAGTTTTGTTGTACCACTGGAAATGGATAAAGCTGATTAAACAGTGTCATAGCTCAGGAGATATGTGGTCTACGTGCCCATCACGTGCTCCCGTCTCCTAGACAGGACTTTAACTGCAAGCTGTCTGATTAGTTAGGTGTGGCCAAACGTGATGTGTAAAAGAAAGCGTATGGAGCAGTTGAGGAAGCGTCGTCTTTTGGAGGGAGCCGAATAACTGCAGATTGTGTGTGGGGTTTATGGGTGTATGGTCGTGCTGTTGTAAGTTGTGTGCTTCCCACCTAAGTGAGGTAGTATTGTCATTCGTTTGTTTCTTTTCTCTGTCTTGGATTTTAACCTTTATTCAGGTCTCTTGTTAACCACACCTTATGTCCATTATTTTTCCTTGTTGGAGCTTTTGTTATTTGATACTGGTATAGTGGCCTGAAAATCTGACTCCAATCTGATGGTATGTTGATTGCTATACTATCAAAATATACATATCGTCAATCTGCATATATATAAATTTCGTCAGCGAATAACAGAGTTAAATAAGTCGAATATGAGAATAAATTTCAAGTACATGTATTTCATACAATCGTTGACCTAGAGAAACGAAGCAAGGAGAGAGAAACAAAAGGACGCGTGGTGGAAAAAGTATGGGAACCAACTCAATTTAACCAAGTGTGAGCCGATATTTATAGTCACACCAAGAATAAGTTACAGACATGTGATGAATAAGGACAGAAATACACCCACATACGCTCACATAAAGACAGTCTAAGTTAATAAGCGATTAAGTAACAGGGCCAGATGTTTCCTGAGAAGAATGAATAGATTGGCCTGTCCATAGGCTAGAATAACTTATGTGGGCTTGACACTGTGTTCACACTACACTGGTTAAAGATATATCTTACGTTACGTTATGACTGCTGCATGTTGTCGGACAATCGCCAATGAGGTCGTGTCTGACAAAACTCAGGATCACGCTGCAGTTTGGTGTATGACTATTAGCCTCTGACTGTCTGCTTGGAAAGGTTGACTGAAACTTTACACATAAGTATGCAATTCCATTTTGGGAATATTTTTATTGATTCTCAGGCATTAAATCCTTGTTTATCAATTATTCCTTCTGTTCTTTATCAGGTTAGTTTGTGTTTGGGGAACCCTTGACTGTATAGTTCAGGCTGTACCGTTTGAGGCATTTGGTACTTTTAGTATAACTAGCTCCCTTTCTTGAATTAAAACCGTTCAAAATGAAAATAGAGTTTGCATTTCGATAAAACCTAATACGAGTCACCTAAAACGATTCGTATGTTACACAGAACGTGATTTGGTCTAGTCAAATAAACTTTGGTTCGTTGGTTTTGTGTTGATATTTTGTTTGTTACATTATTACTCACCCAATAAAGCTCCGAAATATCAGTAAGTACGGTAGTAATAGATTTCTCACTCAAAACTCGACCTCAAACCCCCAGGATCACAGTCGCAATTACTTTAAGGACGGAAATTTTCCATAGTCAAATTTACAAACCCACCGAACATAAATGGCTCTAAAACATAAAAATGGTCTGAACAACTTACAACCACGTACAGCAGATCTTACCCAATCTAACACTAAAACAAATGGCTATACCTCGAACTATGAGATTAACAATCAAGAGCGGTACACTGTGCAATCAGTTTGTAGAAGATTTTTGAAATACGACCCCTAGTGGCACCTCTTGCGGGGCATCTGGCTTAAGTCATCTCAATCCACATGTGAATTGTAAACTCACTTCTTTGGTGGAAGTTCAATCAGACAGTATCCACACTCCAACTTCATGGCTTGCTACCTGATCTCATATATTCCCCTCTAACTCTTGCCACCAGCCAAACGAGCTATCAAAGTGTAACCAACACCTAGCGTTGAACCCATATCGCACTCATGAGGGTAACAGCAACTCATTCACTGAAGATACTGTCACCTAATTTATCTTGGTGGGTCACTTTTTGACATGTCTACTAATACCCGATAGGCCCTGATTGAAAGGCAACCTTCTACATACCCAAGTAAAACGAGTGATAATCCTTTCTCATGACTTGCGATCCCT